GGGCTTAGGGTCTGGGCTTAGGATTGTTTAGGTTTTAGGATGTTTAGGGTCCAGGGTTTGGGGCTCAGGGTTTAAGGTTTACCGCATATGGCTCGCAGGGTAACTAGTTCCTGGAGATTCTATAAAAGGGTTGTTGGTTTAGCGATACCTTGTGTGGTTGGAATATACAAGTTTCAGAAACCAAGAAGAAAGGAAAAGCAATGTAGCGTGAACAAAGACTCAGGGTAAAGGCTTACTTGGAGGGTCATGAGGACTTTGTAAGTATCTTAATTTCCCCTAATTATAAGCCACATATAACCCCAATTATTCCTTTTTTAACCCCCTTACTAAGTCCCCATGACCCTCCTCGTAGGCTTTAAGGGTTGATGGAATAGGTTTCTAGTGTTCAATGCTGAGCCTTTAACTTCGGGTGCGCATGAAGGTTCCAGGCTTTGGAGTTCGTGGCACGAAGGACACAATTGTCGAGGCTTGCGATTGAAGCTTCGGAGCCCACAACAGGCCCCACATCCTACACCGCACACCGTAAATTCCAAAACTCGAGATCCTTCAACCCTATGTCCTACTCCCAAAAAATCCACAACTCTAGATCCTAAACCAATACTCCCTAAAACGTAAACCACTCAGTTCTACGCCAGACATCTCTGGGCCAAACGCAGCCGTGGATCTGTTTAGGCGTGTGCGGGATGCAAGGCAATGTCAGAGCTGGCTGGAGCGAGCCGAAAGGGCTACGGTGGTTTAGAGCTTTAGCTTTAGGATTGTGGGTTTGGGAACTTGGGATTTCTGGTTTGGGGTCTAGGCTTTGGGGTTTGGAGTTTAGGGTTTTGATTGTAGGGCTTGAGGCGAGGGGTTTTAGAATTAAGGTGTAACGTGCTTGAGGTGCTGTGCATAGGAATTAGAGCTTCTGCAAGATTTGTCATACAGGGTTCATTTCATGCAGGGTGTAGGATTTGGGTGTCGGACTTTAGGGCCGTTGGTGGAGGGTAGGCGTTCAGGGTCTCACTGTACCCGCCCAAGGTTGGAAGCCAAGTAAGGCTATGCATTTTAACTATCTCGGGTGCATATTAGGACAACTTCACATGTTTCAGAAAAATGCCGTAAACCCTAAGCCCTAAACCCTAAATCAGGAAGGCTAAATCCCCTCCGGCTCCCCGAGATCCGAACTCTTCAGCAGAAGCGCCTTGCGAAGGCTCCTGCAGCATGGCGACTGCTCTGACTTCCACAGCGCAGTCAGAAGAAACTTTCAAGGGTTTAGGATTTAGGGCCTAGGGCTTATCATGACAGAGTATTGGGATTTACAAGAGAACAGAGAGGCATGAGGGAGGTGATCTGATCATGGGAGGCTTAGGGTTGCGAAGAGCAACACGAGGACCAAGTGAAAACCAATCATCCCAAGAGGGTTTAGGGTTTAGGAGGATTTAAGATTTAGGGTTTGGGAGGACATAGGATTTAGGGTTTAGGAGGGTCCCCTGAAAGATGTAACGTTGACCTTGACACCCACCGCAATAACCGAAAGACTAGAAAGCAGGCTGAATAGGAAGGGCGGCACTAGTTTCTGATGGACCCAATCCTGCCACACCTAAAGCAATTTCCCTACCATGTCTGAAAAAAACTTCCTAGACTTCGGATATTCTGTTATTCCATGTACTTCCTGGACTTCAGGATATAGAGTCCCCCGTAAGTAGATAGAAAATGGCTTTGGGTATGTTAAAATAAGATCCCCATATACCCCATATTCTATCTACTTAAGGGGACTAACCTAAACCCTAACCTAAACCCTGAACCCTATGGAGTTCATGCCTGACTTTCCCATTCAAAGCTTGAGAGCTGAGTTCTCAATACGAGCCATTCTCTTCCAGTCATCCTTAAGTAGGTAGAAGGTCGGTTTAGGGGTTTAGGGGTTTAGGGTTTAGGTCCCATAGTGCGATATCACATATGTCTAAATGCGTACATTCTAAATTTACCATGTTATCTGTTACATACCTCGCTCTGTTTCTACTTTTGGGTGACCCGATTTGACCCTCTGTATGTGCGGGATGCAGGGTTGAGAGTTTAGTACGGCCTTGTCATGTTGAAGGATTCTGTGTCACAGTCATCCGGAAACAGTCGTGAACACTGAAACTGCCCTTGGGTGTTTTGAAGCCGTAGATCATACAGCCTCAACCCCACAGCCGATCTCAACCTCCCACTCAATATGGATAGTTTTTGAACGGGGGGTAGCCCTCCAAAACCCAAAGGATTGAGAACTACCCAAAGTTTCAAAATCCAAAACCTGAAAAACTACTAACCTTACATGCAGATTCCCTAAGGGACCTGTGAAGATACGCAGGTTGCAAAGGGCGCTATGGGGATGTACATGAAAGCTCTCAACCTGACAGCCTGAGTCATTCTTCCCAATTGCTCAGTGCTTGGCTCAGGACCTCAGAGCGCCTGGGTTAATACGCAGGGTTAGAAGTATCACGCCGTCCCCACTGAAGATGAAAGAGTCTTCTACCTAACGCCCGTAGTCAATCAAACAAAAGACAAGGGACTTGGGCGCTCACAACCCGTCCGAATCTCAAAAAAAAACAAACTGCTGTAAACGCAGGGATGATATGAGCCATACCAAGATCCCAACCCCAAAAACACGGCACCGCAAAAACCGTTTAGCTCCGAAACAGCAGGGGCTGTGTCATGATATCTCTCCAAACAAAGACTTAAGCTCAGCGTGCACACGCGGGCAAATGTGGAAGGAGAGGCATCTACCCAACACGGCCCCATAACTTTGTATTTGGAGAAAGCCCCAGATTTGAGACTTGGAGACCAGAAATGGTAGTTTCCCTAAATAGGGGGACCCCAATACAGACCCCAATGCATTATAATCCTTATGATTAGGACCCCCCAAAATGGTACCCATAATTTTGGGAACCCCCAAATCCTAGTGCAGACCTTCAGCCCGGCCTTGGGCGCAGATTTTTGGGACCTGGCCGGTGCATCAGGTTTAGGGGCTTGGGCTTCGGGTGTAGGGTTTAGGGTCTGGAAACTCCAGAATTGGCAGTAGCCCTTTATGAGTTGACGGAGATCTTGCTAGGCAACAGCTATCAATCCAGACGAAACGTAATGCAACGCTAAAAGGTTTTCAACGAAATGAACGATTGGGGGGTCCCATGTGCCCAAGCTAGCCTTCAAAATCAAAACTCAGCGCTTCAGGACTATAACAAAGACAAGCGCTACATGATGGGTGCTACCAAGGTCTCCCAAACAAGGTGTCGTTCTAGGGACTACTCGAGAGCTGAAACAAACAAGGTGCCCCAGCAAAATCTGGTGAACAAGCGCGAATAATTATCACCTTTTTCGCCTTGCAACCCTTACAGAACTATAACATACTATGCCTCCAAATCCTCCTATTTAAGCCCTACGCCCCAAGGCCTGATCCTAAACCCTAAACCCTGAACACCTACAGTGCACGCCTTCCACTCTCTCGGGCCCTGGCGCGGCGCGCTTTTGATCGAAGCGGTCGAATTCCTCCTGGCGCACCTGTCTGATCTGCTGCTTTTGGATTTAGGTTTCAGGGTTTAGGGTTCGGGTTTGGGTCTTGGGCGTGGGGTTTAGGCTTTAGAGTCCAGGGTTTAAAGTTCAAGGGAAAATCGTTTGGTAGGATGGATTTCTTCTTAAGAAGTGAGTAAATCCATGAGGTAGAATGAATTTAAAATTTCGGGCTCCAATACCAGACCTTTCTGACTTTTTGGAATCGGAATAAGAGTCCTAGCCACAAAAACATACCAAACCCAAAAAAACGCATTAGATGGTCCAGGATAGTGCCAGTATGGCGAATTACAAGCTGATTTGCAGGGACTACTACAAGGATTCATGAGCACTTAAGCACTTGTATGTCTTGGCCTGATGCCTGGGAGCCTAGATACATACAACAAGGTTTGGGGGGAGTGGCGGAATAAATTGCTCTTGTCAAACGTAATCCATCAAACAGGGGCTGTTGGTGTATGGTCAGTGGAGGTTGTCGTTTGGGGCTGAGACATGAACGGCATGTAGTTTGGGGTGGATCGCTTGGCTATACATCAGCAAGGACTGAACAAGGAGCGCGCAAGTTTTCCTTTGCTGCTCCGTCCTGAAAGTCAACTCTGGTCCCCCCCTCTGAAATCAGTCACTTCTACGCTCCAAGGGGGTATTGTGTTGCCCTATACCGCGTGGCAGGAACACATTTTGAGGATAACTCTCTGCCAGCCCATAGCTGGCCAACACCCAAGGAAAACCCTGAACCCTAAACTCGCGAACCTGAACTCCCGAAATCCTGAGCTTCAGCGCCTGTGGGCGGGCTTAATTAAGGTGGATGGAATAGGAAAACAAAGAAACCATTCAAGCTACGGGCCTTCTCTGGGGACGACACTCCCAGCCCTGCAAGCCTCACATTTGAAATCTACTCTCGCCTGCACTGAGCAAACAGAGAACTCACATGAGCTATAGTCTAAACTCCTAGTATCCCCCTTAATAAGCCCTATAATAATCCCCTATATAACCCCCTTTAAGGAGTTCGGACTATAGCTCACCTAAACCTTTTTGAAAAGACAGAATGGAGCCGAGTTTTCAGATCCCGCAGTTCCTTCATCTCGCGGTCTAAATCCTCTGGCGTCACCTGCATGCTCAGAAGCATCGGTTCAGTTGTGTCTTGCAGAAAAACTGCGTGTCTCTTTCTTGGGCGTGCGCATGAAATCATGTAGGCAGGTTGTAACAGCTTGCAGGTGTAAGATTGGTGGTATTTCTTATGGATACAGCTCTCCTCTATGCCCGGAGCACCATATCCCTTCCTGCAGGAGCCCCACAGATAGGCACTAAACAAATTGAGAAAGACTCACGAAAGCATCATAAACTGGCCCAACAAGGTGGGCCCTCAAACCGAAGTCCGAAACCCCCTGCAGAAACCTAAGAAGAAATCTGTGGTAAGCCTCTCCTGCAGCCCCTCATGTCAGTAGACATCAAAGGAAGTACGAGTGACCTTGCGGAGCTTAGGTAACAAAATGCTTTGAAGCAAGGGACGTAAACCCTAAAGGGGAAGGTACCCAAGGACCTTGAGGGACCCTTTTCAAAGAAAAGACGTCCCAAAGGCCTCTTTTCTCATTAAGTACTCGAATCAAAAAAACTAAAGGGTGATGGAAACCCCGAAAAACTGCACAAGTTCCGTTGGGACCTGGAGGCTTTGAAACGCCTAAACCCCAAACGCAAACACCCGAATGTGAAACCAGAAGCCGCCAGGCCGATTCCATAAACCTTTGGCCCTGCCTGCAGCCATTCCTCGAGGTCATCGCGGTCCTTTGCTAACATGGAGCGCAGGAATTCTCCTTTCACAACTTCTATCTCAGGTTCTGCAGACGGGGAGTGACGAATCAGATTCTGGTAGCGTTCTGTAGACACTGTTGATCAAGCTTCCTCCAGCAACATGGACTCAGCAAGGAACTCAGGTGCACACGATGGCCACACTTTTCGCTGCTTCGCAGTGAGTTGCAAAAACAGATCTGGTATCCAGCCTGGGAATGCTACCTTGTCATGAAGAAAGGGTCGGAGCCCTCCCACCGACAGAGCCGTCCCTGGCAAATTGCCAGCTGCGTTTGAAACTAATTACTGCACATAGATGTCGCGCTGACACAGCGCTGCTGCAAAACGAAAGCTTACGGTCAGTTTGGTCTCACTTGAATTGAATGTACAACTACGTCGGTCTGACTGAGTCTAGAGTCTAGGATCTGTACAGCGCAGTGCCCAAGAACTCATGAATCAACCAATGTTCCGTGAAGGCCTCATGGGCTCAAAACTCACCACACCAGTGCCGTCCAGTCTTTGTGAGGCTTCTCTAGGGGCGGACAAAGTTCCTAAACTAGCTCAGAGCTTGCCGGCTCACCATCGGTCCACAATCCTTCGGATGATTCAGTTGCTGCCCGAGGCTCCCGGAGGGCATACAGCGGCAAAGGCGCTTCACCATCCGAACTAGAGTTTGCACGAACGTCGGAGCACTTCCCAAGTTTGCGGCCGGACTGGCAATCCAACAACGCTGTGATGTCGGTGTTGCTGTTGAGGCTCTCGGTTATGGATGCGACACCGTCACGGGAGTCTGCCAGGCTCGTGGCGTGCTCCATGAAGGGCAGGGTGTCATCTGCAAGCTTCGCCTCAAGCAACTCATGCAACTTGCATTCCACCACCGTATCTGGCACTATCCGGAGGAGTCGCTGCACCAAGCTCCGCAGCTGAAAGGTTGTGAGCTCAGTGGTCTTCAAGATACCAGGCAGCACCCTTACCGCCCAACGCAACGCTATTGTATCCTCACTGTGCCAGAGTACTTCAAGCGCTGCAGCTGAGTCCTGTGAGCGCATGCCTGTTGCGTAGGTTGAACAAACAAGCTGCAACAGCAAATCATGAATCTCGGATCCCCAAGACGACGCATTTCCAAGCTCTAGGATAAGACTCTCCCGTGGCAGAACTTCAGGATCGATCTTAGCCAAGGCAAATGCGGCGCTGTCACGCACTTGATCATCTTGGTCATCAAACAGTTTGATCAGCTGCGGCACAGCTTCACCTGCTGCAGGACCAATTTGGCGCAAGGCAAATGCGGTGCTCAGGCGCACTTCCGTGTCTTGGTTCTCAAGCAATTTGACCAGCTGCGGCACAGCTTCACCTGCTGCAGGACCAATCTGGCCCAAGGCCAATGCGGCGCTGTCGCGCACTTGCTTGTCTTGGTCTTCGAGCAGTTTGATCAGCTGCGGCACCGCTTCACCTGCTGCAGGACCAATCTGGCCCAAGGCAAATGCGGCGCTGTCGCGCACTTGATCATCTTTGTCTTCGAGCAGTTTGATCAGCTGCAGCACAGCATGAGCTGCTGCAGGACCAATCTGGCCCAAGGCAAATGCGGCGCTGTCGCGCACTTGATCATCTTTGTCTTCGAGCAGTTTGATCAGCTGCGGCACAGCTTCACCTGCTGCAGGACCAATCTGGCCCAAGGCAAGTGCGGCGCTGTCGCGCACTTGCTTGTCTTGGTCTTCGAGCAGTTTGATCAGCTGCGGCACAGCTTCACCTGCTGCAGGACCAATCTGGCGCAAGGCAAATGCGGCGCTCAGGCGCACTTCCGTGTCTTGCTTCTCGAGCAGTTTGATCAGCTGCGGCACAGCTTCACCTGCTGCAGGACCAATCTGGCCCAAGGCGTCTTTGGCGCGGCGCACTTCCATGTCTTGGTTCTCGAGCAAATTGACCAGCTGCGGCACTACTGTTGGACCAGTCTGGAACAAGGCCAATGCAGCGCTGTTACAGTCTGACGTGTCTCCGCCCTCCAGCACTTTGATCAGTTGCAGCACCGCTTCGGCAGCTGCTTGAAAACCTATCTTGGGACCTATGTGGTTGATTTGCTGCGGGGGAGGTTAACTTTTGGCAATTGCTTGCATGACCCATTACGCAACAAAGACACCTCGGCTGTGGTAGCAGGATGCTTGTTTGACCCGGCATGTCTCCAAAATTGACCTATGCTTGCGCCAAGGCCGCAGCGGCTCAGCAGAGTCAATTCCGTTTTCTAGAAAACCCTTGCAGGAAGCTTCGTAAACTCGACAAGGCTGTCGAGTTGCCCTAATAGCTTCACTACTCAGCAGGCTGCGGGAGTATGGCTTAACCGGGCTGCATAGCAGAGCAGCTTCCGACAATCAAGCCACCTGATTCAAGGGGTTGCTGCAGTCCACAGAAGGACAACAGAAAGCTTCAGGAGGCGGAGAGCATGCCAGGGAGATCCAGGGACTTCCGAAGCCCCTGAGCAAAAGTCGGAGAGCCTTCTCCTAACGTGATAAAGGACAAAAGGATGCAGTTCAGGTAACTAAGCGACAGAAGCAACACCCGGCTAACAATGGTGACGATAATGCTTTAAGTGTCGCAAAATTCTGGACATCAACGTCAACATAAGAATGTCTACTGCCCTGATCACTCCTGGATTCCGCTCCGGCATGAGCCCCGTCTAGCACTGTAGTTTGAGAAACCTCCATGTGAGCAGTAGTTGTGGTGATTATGTTCTGTACCAAAAAGAGGACAAGTACCCCCAATAAAGACACCTCCCATGCTTGAACAAAGCCTTGCAAAAGCTGAGGCAAAGCACCCGCCAGTGAGTCTCCAGGTCTACGGCCTTGGCAAAAAAACGAAATCAAGGACTTGTCTTACCGGAGCTTAGTAAGGAATAAGGGTATATAATAAATAGGGATCACATTCACTTACTCCCTACTAAGAAGAGTAAATTGTTGTCTTTCTCGGATATAGAGTTGAGGGGGGGTTGGAGTCTAGGCCTGGTGTTTAGAGCTTGCAGGTCTACGGCTGGGGGTCTGTGATCTAAGGTGTGTGTAGCGATTGGGCCGTTGGGGCTGCTCTTTCAATTTGGGAGGTTAAAAGTTCGGCGGTCTTGGCTTTGCTTTTTGAAATCTGTTGAATACACCGGTTGCATGTACCATGCAGCTACAAGGCCCTTCACCTCACCATGCTTCTCCCTAACCCTACCTTACCCGTAGACCCGAGAAATCCACGGAACACAGGCCCCAGAGTCCAAGCACAAGGCAGCTAGAAGCTCCTGGTCTTCGTAGATGCGCAGGAACGCCTTGAAGGCTTGCTCTAGAGCTTAGCGTCCCTGGAGGTCAAGGGGGCTTAGTAAGTGTGCTAATAAATCCTATAAACCTTCCCAGACCCCCAACAGGATCTAAAAATTAGATCCCGTAGAACCATATGGGAAAATGTATCAGGATTATATAGGGGCTATAATGGGTCTATATAGGGGATCTATTTTTTTTTTATCCTCGGTCTAGGTTATGAGAATCTCAGCTATCCCCATTATTGCTCAGCTCCTGACCCGCAAGGTGAGATGGGGGGCTGGGATTATGGCGCGACGGGCATCACACAAGGAACTAAACACCTGCAGATTGGTGCGACGAATGATGCAATCTACATGCCAGAAAGAATCTGGGAACGAGCGCAATCCTGATAGATCCCTGTACCCTGCCTCCCTGAAGGGATCGTCCAGGTTGTGCTGCCTTGATCATGGTAACTGCAAGGGTTCGGGTCGGAGGTTAAGCCTGGGGTTTGAGGATGCAATAGACCCTCAAAAAGCAGCTCGTATTTATGTTGGTGGCGTCATTGCGGATTGCTTCGTGGAGCATGTCAGGCGCTCTTGGCTGACTAATCCCCAGCATCTGCACCACTCTTTTTACGAATAGTGTTTGCCATTTGAAGTCTGGATTTGAGGTGCTTACGGTTTAGGGCTTCGACCGACCAAGCTTGGAAGGTATTTCTCCAGACAGCTTCATTCTGTGCGCGTGATTTCCAGGTGATACACACATGGCTGTTCATCCAAAGATTTCCTGGGTAGAGATTCGACTTCGCAGCCATCATGTAAGCTTGAAGATCCTTCAGAAGGGTGCTTTCTCACAAGGAAGAACAAACAAGTAAAACAAACACAAACAGTGGCAACTCACTGGCTGTGCCTGGGGGGGCTCGAAGACCATGAGCCCCAAGCGCAAGGCTGTAAAGTCTCTAAGCCCTAAACTCTAACCCTAAATCCTAACTCCTAAACTCCGAATCCTAAACCTAAGTCCCGAAAAGCCTGACACCTAAATTCTGCTCCTTAATTACCAAAACTGTGCCTTCACATAGCAACAGTACACTCTCCCAAAATGATGTGCGTATAAGTATAAACAAACCTTACTGCTGTATATTGGGAATATTCGTAACTAGGACCCTGGAGGGTTTTGTCAGTGGCGGAGTTGAATCATCTCTGAAACACAACAAACTGACTGACGTAGAGGGTGTGATCACGCATTTGATCTTGGATAGCGCTTGCGGGGCAACAAGAGACCCCATCGGAGAGTCTGTGAATCATGGCCTAGAATCCGGCGCCTTTATGAGATGCTAAGAGGAAGTTCATCTACGGACTGCTGACCCACTGAGCGCCGGACTGAGAATAAGCCCTCGCGGCTGCCACTCCAGCAAGAGACCTGAATAGAGGATTTTGGGGGGATGGGCTTCTAGCTCCCGCTAGGGTGACCCAACATCTGCCAGACCTCTCACACGCTAGAAGCACGTCCCCGTACTGTCAGAGGAGCGAACAGTTAGAGAAAGAAAGAGAGAAACTCAAATGCCGTCCACTCTCGATCCCCAGCCCAGACCCCAACATGCCCAAAATCTTCCACGTCTTACAGGGTTCAGGGTCTAGGGCCCTGAGCCCCCAAAACAAACTCGGCCTATCTCCAAGGGCCGCACCCCTCATGTTGCAGGTGCTTTCGGATGGTCGGATCCGACCTCGCCAGTTGAGGTGGTTCTCCACATGTTTAAAGAGTCGTTAGGCGGTAAATGTAGGGATGCCTCTCAGGATATATGGCGATGTGAAGGGCTTGGTCTTTTAACATCAGGTTTCAGACTTTTCTTTTGTCAGTCAATGTAACATCGCAGATGGGAATTACAAAGAGGGACAATGGGGGGTGCCTTCAACCCTAACCCTAAACCCTAAACCCTAAACCGCGTCTAAAGGGCGCGAAGTCTGTGGAGATTAGCGCATGAGGTGAGGAGTTACACCCCAAACCCTAGAACTCTGTGCGCCAAAACCCCCTAAACACCTATAGTCCCCCTTAAGTAGGTAAAATATGGGGTAATGTTAGAGATATATTGGGGCTATATGGGGATAATGGACAAGAAAATGGAAACTACTATAATGGGTTATATGAGCCCTGAACCCTTCAAACCAGGTGAGCTAATGGAGAATCAAATGGAAAAGAACATGCAAAATGA